AAATACTGAATACCTTAGCCCTTGATCGCTGGTATTTCCGTCATTTTGTTGTTTCATGAACCAGAAAATACAGCCAAGGAAAACATTAATGTACTAAAGTGGTTTCTAGGAGGGGCCGTGAAGTGCAATGCCCAGGGGCTGCATGGAATGAGTACTAAAACTAAACCTGATAGCTTTCCTGAGGCAGTGCACGGGACGTCTGAGTGAATTAGACTTGTACTAGTCACTGGTTATTCCAGGCTTAATGTGGTATTCTGGTCCAATCACACAAGCTCAAGGACATGACAGGCCTTTCAATGGAACCACTGTATCCATGCATCTTGGTAACCAGAGGATTGGACAAAACAGATGAATGAAAAATGATAGTCCCATGATAGTTATCACTAAAATACATTTGACAAGAAATTGCACGTAATAAAGATGTTAGAGCTGCCTTAATTTGTATTGCAGAATAGATTTGAGAATTCCATTTGCTTTTCACACATAGACTTTGCAAAGAAGTGGACTAAATAAGTGTGATGCCACCCATAGCGTTTGGCTTCAGTCAAATGAAGCTCACTGAGGCCTGCAGTCAAAGGGGCAAATCTGGAGCTGTTAAAAGTTTAACAGGGAGCGAGCGCTTAGCAACGCTGTCAATCAAACCTGCTGCTAATGCTAGTGGAAAAGAGGAAACTTGATTTGTCTGTTATTAACGCTCATATCTCGATTTACAGACAACTTAGTCAAATAAAAACACCAGAATCATGTAGAGTGGGTTAAAACAAACAGATGAGTCTGACAGCAGCAGTTACAGAGAGAGGCGGGGTTTTTAGTAGAAAGTGAATAAGAGTCGATGGAGCTGGAAGCACATCCATCCTCACTTCCTATTTTGAACACATTGGCTAGTGCATTAGCTATGTTCATTTACAGTCAACATACAGTCTATGATTTCACATGCAGTCATTCGTTTTTGTAATTAAAGATACACTAAATAACTTTTCTGGTATAGTGTCTGCTTGTGTCCATGGAGATGTTGCTGCTCTGCCTGAAACGCTCCTATTCCCATGGGAACAAGCAGGTGAGACCACTAGGCCAAGCTACAGGTAAGTTCTGTGGAAAGGCTTGTGCACATTTTCATTTATTTCTTAAGCTTTAAAAATGGCTGCAATAGAATAAATGCTGGATACAAAAGTGTAATGCCATAATGTGGAATATTATGGCACCTTTAACTTGGTAATGTTTTGTAACCAGCTCCCAGATTTACATAAGGTGGACTGACGAACCACTTTCCAGAACCATCTTGATTATTAATACATTACTGGTTGCCCTTTCCTCCAGTGAATAGGCCTATTTACTGAGATTTGCTTAGCGTATGCTAGCATCTTTGCAGTGCAGCCTCATTACAAATGTCAATAGAGTCTCATGGTATCCAGCCGTGCTTTGTAGCAGAAAAAGGATCTTTACTCTGGAGAAATGGCCAAAACAGATGAGCGATTAATGATTGAGTTGTGCATATGCTCATAAGACAAATTCTCTGACTTTTTAATATGAACGGCAGCTGTAGAGGACACGGGGACTTTGATTGCTGACTGGAGAATGCCTTACTGCTGAGATCAGAAACCCTTGTGAATCAGTGGATTAAAGCCCCCATTGGGATGTCAATATAAAAACATCTATGTCCTCATGCTGCCTTGACTAAATGGCATCTGTTATGAAAACTGCAGCAGGGAGAGAATTACAGATAAGAAATGTCATTCATCTATACACAGTGGAGTATTAGTGTAGAAATCATACTGCATATCAAGAGCTCAATGTAGCAACTGCCAAAGTGATTAGTTATGGTAAAGATTAGGATTCCGTCTATAATAAGTCTATAGCTTCATAAACTGCACAGCTGAACAACAGACAGTACAGTACAATATGTAAAATGTGTTTTATCACCAACATTAGTGCAATACTTTATAACATACATTTGATTTGTTGACATAAAATACTGATTTATTTTTGGTATTATTTATTTTTGACTTTGCAAATATAGGGGGACGTCTAAAACTCTACTACACAACAAATGGTTATGTTAAAATTAAACAGAGAATACTACTACTACTACTACTACTAAAGATATTCCTGATACTACATTATTGCTACTATTATATTGTTAAACCAGAACTATAATACTGTTTGTACCATATCATTGCCACTACTGCTGCTTATTTTGCCACAAGTAAAGAAATAAAGAACATGCACAAACATATGAATTCATTTGAGGACCACTGCATTTCCGCTTTTTGCTTTATAAATTGTAGTCAAAATGTAGCCTCCATCAATACCCCCCTAGCACTCAAGCACACTGCACCATAGATCCGTGGCTCCCTGTGGTGCTGGGACACGCCCCTCCTCTCCTGCTCCCTGCTCCCTCTTCCTGTAAGTGCATGACTCACCAGCAGCCCTAGCCGCAGCCTCAGCAGCCGCCATATTCAGCAGTGACCTACATGTGTGGAACCTGCGTGTCCCTCTCCTCCCTGACCCACATTCTACACTGATCCTGTCATTTCCAGGCTGCGACCCGGACTTGTTTCATAACGCCACCAGACGCCACGTAAACACCACTTCTGTCTCTAAAACAGCTCGTGTGGTGTGAAGCTTTAGTTCATCTGCTTTATTTCAGTGCGTACACATAGTAAAATATGTTGTGCCGGTGTGATTTACAAAGGGAGTACATAGATAAGCTTTAAGAGTGTCATTGCCCTGCTGGTATCGCTTCCACACATTCCTCTTTAAATCTCACGCTTAATGGACTGAGTGTAATCGTGTAAGTAAACAGAAAATGTCATCTGTGTTTACTTCTTGCTTGTTTGTCTTTAAGCCGTATTATTACAAATACACTGAACAACTATTAGAGGAAAAAGCGCAGCCTCACATTTGTGTTCACCTGTTCCTCTGTGCAGCAGCAGCGCAGGCACAGGCAGCAGCGTAAGCGTGCTGAAAATGTGATGCGGCAAGAACCATGTGCGCTCCCACACACCAGGCACTCAGGGGGCGGGGCTTCAGAAATGGACACTCCCACTGTGGCATCTTATTGGCTGTCAATGACATCATTGATTAGAGGCTGTAAACAGTGAGTGAGAAGAGCTCACTCACACTCCTTTCATAACATCAATGCAGTGCAGTGAATTAATAATGAAAAGGCAATATAAATATACTTCAGTTACATTATTAATACATTGGAGATCAAGTCTATTAAAGGTCAGCACAAGGAGCAAAGAGCAAAGGAAATACTTGATAAAATACTAAAATCCTTGTTCCTATAGTGCAGACAGTTGCATTTTTTTTGCAGTATAAGTTACGAAAGAATGATTTTGTTGTTCTTATCTGAAGAGTGAACACAAGTATAACTATTACATTTTCTATAACTAATAGCATGAATGATTTGATTTAGTTGATGAGGACAGTGCATGTTAATGAAGGTACTAGTACATGATATACGTACATGCTGTAAACACACTAGATTGTAGCTATAGGCTCATTCTTATCCATTGTCCTGCCACATTCGCTCTCACAAACACACTTGCATTCATACACCTGTGTACATGGACACTGGAGATAAGGTGGGTGAAGTGTCTTGCCTAGGGGCACAACAACAGCATGCACTTGAGCAAGCAGAAAAGTGCTCCAGCTGAGCCACTGCTGCACTACTGCCCACAACAGCACCTGTTATTCCCAGTGGTCTCCGATCCAGTACTACCCAGGACCAACCCTGTTTAGCCTACAAGATCAGATGAGACTGGGCATTCTCATGGCGATATTGCCTCCTTGGCACGGTCACCTTGTACTCCTGCAAAAGTACTGAAATCTGAAATAGACCATCTTGCTGCTTAAATTAAACTTACAATTATAATTTTAAAATAACAGCACTTACATCTAACACAGTTCCTAAATTATTAATGAGGCTTTTTTCTCATTCTAGATAGTGACTTTTACCTATTCACATTTCTTCTTGAGGCCTACATACTACATATCACCTGTACGTGCATTTCAGCAAGCTCTTCCAAACTTGCAAGCTACCTGTAACTCAATTGCACAAAGATGGAAATTATCACATCCCAGCTTTGCAGAGACAAATGTGACATGGATCCTGATATAACATACTGGTCTCAAAACTGAAATGCCCATGCAAAAATCCTCTGAATATTAGCATGTCTTCTCTTATTTATAGACAGCACTCTTGCGGTGGCACTAAGTAGTAAATCTGACTATGTCCTGCAGCAGAGAATGATGCAAACTGAAGCAACCCGGGGAGGCAGGATTTTGTCAGGTAAGTGTTTGTGCTTACGGTGCACTGTGGAGCCTGCAGAGGGGGGACAGTCAGCCCACCCCAATGATTACAGAGCACACCCACTCAACTACAGGCTGCAGCTCTCTACTAGGAGCTTTGCACTGAAAGAGTCAAGGAACAGATTGGAATTATATTTAGTGGGGACTCAAATGGTTTTATCAGTCTGGTAAAAAGTGATGAATACAGGTATAATAAAGTGAATGAGTGCCAATTTTCCACAGTCAATATAAAACAACTTGTAGAGGCAAATAAAGCTGGAAGTTCAAGGATTTCTAAAAACTATTTATAAGTACACATAAAAGTATAGTGCCCTTCATATTGTAATGCCAGTCAATATTAAATGGAATCTGAAATTTATGTACAAAAGAAACTTGTACATCCATTTTAAATGTTCCTTACATTTTTCATGTGTATAATAATGTTTAACTCCAACATAAATACATTTCAATAATGTAAAAAACTCAAAAGAAATAAGAGTCAAATTGGGTCAAAATGTTAAATTCTAAATTATTGTAACCCAGTTAATCGTATGAATCATATTCATGTGTAACAAAGTTTGGCATTCCATGTGAAGAGGTGAAAAGAATTAAGTTAAGCATTTAAGTTTGAGTTGAATGGAGTTTTTAATATAAGTGTATATATAATGGTGTTGAAGTAGATTTTATGTCATGTGACATCTACATACCGTATGGTAGAGGAACGAAGGATATCCTGCCTTTATCCAGCGAAGTTGTAAGTGCCTCAAGATCTTTATAATCCGCAAAGTGGCTCCAAGAGTTGGAGATTTCCAAGTGTGCCTTAAACTCATCCTGCACGCTACTTCTGTTCTGCTGCTCAACTTTAAATCCTTCAGAGATGAGTCTTCACCTTCTCCAAAAACGAAACCAGGCCACTGTGTCTTAATCCGCAGAGCTTCTTCTTAAAGTGCTTGATAGGTGGCTACATTTGCTGCAAGATTTGTGGAGATTTTGTGGAGGGTTTTTTTTTTTTATTCCTTTAACCTTTCCTGGGGAAATTTGGTGAGTCGGTTAATCTGGTGTTAAAATCCCACCTAAGGACAGAAAGTGGAAAAAGCAAAAAAGTCAAAAACTAGTTATTATAAAATAACTGTGGTAAAACCACCCATGAAACAGCAAATTTGTGTTTTTGCTGTAAGGGATTAAAAGGGACAGCTAAAACTTTTTCTTTAAGATACTTTCAGATGAAATTCCAGGCTTTTTATATATATATATTTTTTAATATATAGTAATAATACAAATAAATAGCTACTTCAGATAGCGCTTTCTGTCCCGAGTGCTAAATAGTTGGGCAACTTACTGTACAATGGAATGCAGCATATTCAAACAAGTTGTTTTGCCACACCTTCATACAAAAAAACTTTTTCTTTGTTTTTTGTATTATTCAAAATGTTACCAGCAAAATAGTAAAAACTTTTCATTGTAAATAAAAAATAAAATAAAAATCTTACTACAAAAGTAGGATCAAACTTACATCCTTTTATCCAGAGATGCTCTGAGTCCCATGTGCTTAAAAGTTTGAAATTGATGTATAATACTGTCTTTTTACTATTTGGGCTTATAGAATAAAGATTATAGACAAAATAGCACATTGTGGTGTCCTGGGCGACACAACAATTGTTTTTATGACAGAATTACATTGCTTTGTGCGGAGTTTCTTTGTATGGACTATGGGCTGAGAACAAAGAGGCTGTACTGTAACAAAGAGGAGCTGAGACTTATACCTGTTGCTCCGCTTCTAATTAGCGGCAAACAACTTATTTTTACACTTTTCAAAGTGGAAATACAGCTAACCTCAAGATAAATTCGTTTACTTTGCATTTATACTATATTTTTCTGCACAACAACTTTGCCTCCACGCCAGTGTTGTGTTTATGATACTTTACACCTGATTGCATTGTTCTGAATTCCCACAGTGAATTAGCAACTTCGCGTGACTAAAACACAACTCAATTATAACTACACCGTTAAATCAAACAAATTCAAAAGTTATGCCAAACTTCTTACAAACACTTTGTCTTTAAGCAGCGTGCGTAAGAGGAGCATTTTTCTCCGCCAACTTCTCCTGACAGGCAGCCAGCGCGTCGCAACATCACCAGGGACAAAAGCAGCACCAACTCCATGTGACGGCCGATAAAGCAAACAAAGACATATAATCCCATAGAACAAGAAGTCGTGCGTTATGGCGCGGTTTGGAGATGTAAAGAGCATCCCCGTCAACTTGTCTTCCTCAAAGCGCCCTGCATCAGACAAAGGAAAGAGGGGGACCGCTCCTTTCCCTGCTTTGTGCTCAAGTTTGCGCGCTGACGCACCAAGTACAGCGGCAGGCTCGAAACTTTTAACTTGCAAATGAGTGCGACCGCGCGAGCATAAAAAAGTGTGGCAGCCCGGAGAGTACTCACCTGAGGCTGTATCCCGTCGTGCCCGTCGGTGGCGCGTGACGGAGGGGCAGAAAAAGTTTGAGAGGGCACATCTAGCTTTGTGTTGTGGAGTCCCCCTTTGTCTACACGTGTGATAGATGGATGGGGCTGTGTTTGGCCGCGCCTTGTTCGTTTCGCTCTCCATGGAGTCCCGCCCTCCCAAAGTCTTACAACTCTGCACTTTACAGCACAGGAGATCTGCATATATGTACATAAGCATGCTCAAGTAAGCTGTAAGGTGCTGCATCCATACAAATGTGAACTTTTGAGAATTCTTTTGATGGTATTAGTACTTTCAAGTACATGGCTTCTTGATTGCAATATCCCCTCTGTTAGGCCTAATTATTTAATCCAGAAGCATATCGTTGCCATGTCAAAAAAAATATATGTATATATAATATAAAACTGTAATATTATATTACATGGATTTTGTTCATGTTATTAATAATTCATAATTCATATGTAAATCTATAGGCTGAACTTTGGCTCATGCATGGCTGCTGTTTCCATTGTGTCTGGCTGCAGCACTGAACAAAGGCAGAACCCGCTTTGTTTTAACGCACAGTAAATACAAATATGACAGCGAGCAGGAGACTAGAGGTTCAATTTGCACACAATGAGAGTAATTATAGCACTCGAGTCTCACTTATGTGATGGCAATATAATTGAATTAATGAGTACTCATATACATTGCTGTATAGTGTATGATAGACTTGACTTAAGAGGTTAGCTTCTCAAATTAAGTGCAGGCTTGCCTGTTGTATTCACCCAACTGCTGGGTAATCATTTTATTACAATGGCTGCATTTTTGTTTAATTTCCTTGAGCTTTGATTGTGTACTTCTGTAAAACATATTAACTTAAATGTATGTTCATTTGTATCGCCTTTTGTTAGGGGTTGGTGGCTTGAGGCTTTCTATGGCCTTGTATGGCGGGATACACCCTGGACAATGGTGATTGCATGGCAGTAATGACAGAGACAAAGGCTGTTCACATCCATTGACTAGAGGCCATTTAGAGTCACCAATCATTTTAACGTGTGCATGTTGAGAGACAATGAAAGGAAGCTTTAGAGAACTCAGGAAGAAATCACTAAGTGTCTAAGTTGGAATTTAACCCACCAATCCCACATTTGCAGAGATGTGTAGAAGCTTGTATTTGAAAATTAAAAAGACTCAAAAATTCTTTCTTTTCCACTCTTCAAAATAACAAAAGTACAGACAACTGCAAACAAATATTTCTTTTACCAAATGTTTATTTAATGAGCTGCAATCCTCAGACGCCTTTGGAAACTTTAAGCATTCAATAAAAGTTGGATACGCTATATTACATGCTCTTCTAGAAGATTGTAGGTGTGGAATAAAAATAATTTCCAGTGGGTGTCAAGTATTGTTAGGTAAATTATGGAAACTGGAAAAGCTAATGTTTGTGCCAATATCCAGCTTTAATAATGAACAGGAATTATTTGGATAAGGAGGATGGTGTAGAAAATCAAAGGAAAATCAAAATTGAACTCAGTGCCAGTGTGGAGATAGGTGATTTGGAGTTGTGGCCATGGAAGGGAAGAGCTGAAAAGAAAGAATTTGGGCTGAACTTTGGCCACTTGCCATTTTTATTTTTACAGCTCTTTGTTTGTTTTATGACCAGTGAATTGCTAAGACCTTTCTATTCAAGACAACCCCAACTAGATTTGGGTAAAAATAAAGAGAAGGGTTTGCAATGCAGCCATCTTTTATGTAAGACTACACTGTGGACAATGTGGTGGTTCATTCTCTCACCTCACAGTCAAACAGTACAGGGTTCGTTTTCCAGGTACTGGGTAGAGGTTTGCATGTTGTTCCCGCATCCAGGTGAGTGCACTCCAGTTTCTCCCATAGAAAATGCATAAAAGCCTTATCCTCTTGTAGTATGAGACACTAAGGATGGGTCAAATGCAGACGATATATTATCCTACAAGGCAATACGGAAATGCAGTGTGTATTTGCAAAAACAGGTAAGTGCCATTAAAACAACATAAGAGCATCTTAAATCTTTGCATAACAGTGTTTCACCAAACAAACCATTTCATCTTGATGAAATCCACTCAACTACACTTTCGCTTTCAGAAAATGCTTTTATATTGCTTGCATGTATGTATGTTTTTGCAAATTAACTCTTCAACATAATGGCTTATTAACAATTACATTTTCCAACATATTTTGCTTATAATTATAAACACGTTGCAAAGTAGTTGTTAACACACAAATAACAAGGTGTGCGTGCATGCCAGTGTTCCAGGATCCCACTGCAAAACCTTAAAATAGTGACACTGTGGATTCATCCCACCAATTGTGCACCATCCATCTCCCCAGGGACGAGCTACAGATGCAGACAGCAGGCTGCCATAGAGCTCTTATCCCACCACTGTGACCCCCCCACCCCTCCCCTCCTCACTCCTGCTGGGTTTGTATGGGCCACTGACTCCAGCCGTCCATCAGCTCTGCTCCAGCCTGCTCTGGTCTATACTGCATATGCCAGACATGAGACAGCACCCTTAAAAAGCCTATAGCAAAAGCACACAGAGGCCAGGTTCAAAACGCATAGATCTGCTGCCATGATAGGAAATGCACCACTGAAGACAGTTGCAGAGCTGTTGTGTGACAAAACTGTATATATGTTTGGCAGGTGGAACACCAGGTTATTATGCACAGCCAATTAAGTGCAGATAAAAAGCACAAATCTGCATATCGCTGCGGAGCTGCAAGGGCTTAATTATAGCAGCCTCATAAAATCAGTTATGTTTTAATGCTCCACTGCACATTCACTTTATTTCCTATAGCTACAGACAGCAATGCATCTTCCTACACATGCATGCAGTTGCCAGTAAATGATCATTATATAGACACTTTTAATGAGTGGGTTGTCTCCCGCGGCTGTGTTTTTGCATACAAACTACCACAGGTTTAGGACACTTTTAAATAGTGAAGATGCAAAGGCTATGGACAAATCCCAGTCAAGGTCAACAGTGATGAGTAATTATATAATAGTTTGATGAAGTAAATGAAGTATTCCATTTACTAAAAGCATTAGTCCAAATTGCAATGTCTGTAATAAAACACTCTGCAGCTATAATCTTATAAACAGTGGCTTACATATAACAGAACAACTGCACTTCACTTGAGTGTAAATCAAGCTTGTGTCATTGATTATTGTGTTTCATTGTGCGATTTGTCTACAAAGCTTGAAGTACATGTCAAGCATCAAGTATTGACCCTGGCCTGTTGTGGTGATATTGTTTAATTTCATGCATAGATTGCCCACTACTTCCTGCATGTAGACGTGGAGATTGGAGGTAGATAGACACGCATATAGCTATAGTCAGCGATGCTGGAGGGCCCTTGGCTGACTGCTGCTGCGAGACCAGGCCCATCCCCCACAATGAGGGACTGTCTGGAGAGGGGGAAGGGAACCATGACTGTCTGAACAGCAGACAGCAGTGTACCTCACCATTGCGTGCTATTTAACATGAAACATAAGGACTACCTATAGACCTTTACCTTCATGAAGTGCAGTGTGATTTTGTTAACCTGTTACTATTACATTAGACCATGATTTTAAGCGCACAAGTGGATATGTCGAGCTTGCATCTGCAGAATACAGTCAGTATGAAACACTAAGCATGAAAATTGCTTACAAGGGTAGTACATTAGTAATGAAGTAGTAGTGTTAGTGAGTAGATGGTGACATAACTGTTCATATTCATCATCTCATTGCTGGTCTGACATGGATTCTTTATTAGTGCATATGTAAAAGAATTCAAAAGCAGTAATAGGGCAAGTGTCTCTACTGTAAAAACAGAAGTATACTTGTGTGTTGTAATGCATGATTCCACGTGGAGAGTGTTTTGATCCTATAGCCCGGAAATTGAATGAGATTTGATTATAACAATGACATTATAGTATTTTCCTTATATGTATTAGCCCTGTAAAAGTGAATGTAAAAGTGCAGCACTATCATAGCATGTCGGTTTGTACAGTGAGCCTCTCACTTGGAGGATTTGCATATTTTCTTTACTTTCACTGACAGTGGTTTAGCATGCAGTGACAAAATGATATAGTTTATGCATAATGCATGTGTGAAACTTAACACTTTAACACACGTTTTGCATAATTGCTATCCCCATAAAGACAGTTTGGAGCTCTAATATTAAGGTAAAGCTAAAGCATAAACTGTATATGTCACACATTTTGAGTTTAAATTATTCTATTTTGAAGAGTGCAAGTGTTGGGTCACTGAATTGAAGTCACGAGGTCAAAAATCACCAAAGAAATAATAAAGTTTCAGTTCCAGCTGATTTATTTCCTTCTTTGAAAAAAGTTCTGTACACAAGTTTATATCAACAATCTGACAGGCAGTGAATGGACACAATTTAGCTGGCATGAGTCTCCCCTCCCTTTGAGCCCCTACGAAGGATGGTTCCTTTGTATATGGCATGATTAGACAATAAATGAACGAAATCTACACAGCATATTGCACAGGATGAATGAAAAATAAAGTTAATATATTTAAAATGCTTTGATATATATAAAAATGAGTCCTGAACTGACCACCTCATAAGTGTAAGAGTGTAAAAGATAGCAGTTCAAGACAGTGCCTGTCCTTGATAGCAACAACGTACATAAACACACAATCTTTTTGCTTTATGATACAGTCAAATATACAAAGATCGAGTTCACGTTTCATCATTTTTCGTTTTTCATTTTTTTCTTAAAAACACAACAGCTAATAACCTGAATCTGAAATACAAATGCTATTCACCATGCCATAAAGATACTAAAACAATTATTAGCTAGTTAGCCGACAAGTAGAAAAGATTATATATTCAAATACAATGAGAAACGCAGTACAAGTAGATGAACT